GACTTCAGGGGAAAATCCCTACCTGGGGAAACAACCTTTCTCGGAGAGGTGACCTTGGACCGGCTCCCGGCAGGATTGTTTATTTAGTTTCTCTTTCTGAGAATTCCTTCTTGGTCTATAAAAAAACCATTGATTTTTGGGTGTTGATTTTGTATCCTGCCACATTGCCAAATTCATTTATTTTATTTATTTTTCAGGAAGAGCAATTTTAACTTTCGATTAAATATTCTTCCATTATTTTACCCCATATTTTACTGAGTTATAAGAAACAACATTAGCATTAGAAAAACTAAGAAGAAAGATAAATGTGGATAATCACTAAACTAAACTTATGAAAACAAAAATTATAACAGGATTGAACTTTATAAACTTAAATTAATATGAGATAATTTTTAAACTGTGCATATCAAAGCAAAATTGACTATTAAAATAATTTAACACTGATTTTTCAAGAAGGAAACTAATTTAAAAATATTTTTATTTTAAAAAAATAGGCCCGTGTTCAGCTACAAAATTTCCCCCCAAGTTCTGATATTTCTTTTATTTAAATTTGGGAAGAAAATGCTATTCTGATGGCACAAAATGCATAAGTTTTAATTGTTTTAATCCCAGCACAGAATTTTAAAAACTATTAATGGAAAACAGATTAGGGTCATTAAGTGCACAACACTGATTTCTGGCCAACTTCTGGTATTTTGTTTCTCCATTAGTTCTCCCAAGGAAAACTTAAGTTGAATCTTCAGCAGAATAATCCTCAAATATACTTCATAAGCAAAATGAGTGGGTATACTTCATAACCAAACAATAGCTTTTGTTTACATAGTTTTTGGATTTTGTTGTTCCTAATTTTATTCTGGAACTCAATTTCATCCCAAACCATAATTACCATATGAACATTTTAACACACAGTTGTATGCAATTCAGCAAAGCAGTAGTACACCATCAGGCTCTGTTCACCCAGAGTTTAGGGAAAACAGGATTGGTCACACCCACTTAAAAACAAACCTCATGCTATTTGCCAATGCATGGTTTCAATCTAAGTTCTGACAGTGAAATATGTGGATATGTATTTGTAAATCTCATCTTGATTTTCAAAGGTAGGCACAGGAAGTTCTTCACAGCTTAGCTTTGCCCTGCTGGAGCTGAAGATTTTGTAACTTCATAGCCAACCCATGTTGCCAGTGATTTTCAACTTACCTTGAAAGAAGGCCGACTGAGGATTCATTTTACCCATCATCAAAGCCATCAAGTCCGAGTCAGCCACTGTGACTGTGCAGTCAGCCTCTTTATCTGAGTTGGGAAGCACTGATCCTTTGCCATTCTTCACATCCACCACCCTGGTGGCTTCTTTACCCCCAGGGCCATCCTTCACCTTAAAGGCCAAAATACCACCAATTTTCTTCACAAACTGTTCCCTGCTTCTTCAAGCTTCTTTTCAATTTTCTTAAAGACAAGCTTTGCCTTAAATCCTTCAACTGCAGCACTGACTGGAACAGCCTCAATTTGATCAGTTCTTGCAGCTTTGAAAAGCCCATCTTGTAGCTTGTGACAACTACAGCTACTCCAAGGCTTAAATTATGCTGCAGAGCCGCCAAATTCATTTATTAAATCTAGTAGTTTTTTGGTGGAGTCTTTAGGATTTTCTATGTACAATATCATGTCACCTGCAAATAATGAGAGTTTTACTTCCTTCTTTCCCATGTGGATGTCTTTTATTTCTTCTTCTCTGATCACTGTGGCTAGGATTTCCAGTACTATGTTGAACAAGAGGGGTGAAAGTGGACATCCTATCTTATTTCTGTTCTTAAGGGAAATGCTTTTAGTTTTTGCCCATTGAGTATGATGTTTGCAGTAGGTTTGTTATATATGGCCTTTATCCTGTTGAGATATGCTCCCTCTATCCCCACTTTGCTGAGAGTTTTTATCAAAAATAGGTATTGGATTTTGTCGAATGCTTTTTATGCATCTATTGATATGATCATGTAATTTTTGTCTTTCAGTTTGTTTATGTGATGTATCACATTTATTGATTAGCAACTATTATGCCAGCCTTGCATCCCTGGAATGAATCCCACTTGGTCATGGTGTATGATCTTTTTAATATATTGCTGGATCCGATATGCTAATATTTTGTTGAGGATTTTAGCATCTATATTCATCAGGGGTATTGGCCTGTAATTCTTTCTTTGTAATGTCTTTACCTGGTTTTAAAATTAGCATAATGCTGGCTTCATAAACAAAGCTTGGAAGTATTCCTTCCTCTTAGATTTTTTGGAATAGTTTGAGGAGTATAGGTGATAGTTCTTGAATGTTTGGTAAAACTCCCCTGTGAAGCCGTCTAGACATGGGCTTTTGTTTGGTGGGAGTTTTTTGATTACCGCTTCTATTTCATCAGTTGTTACTGGCCTATTCAGGTTTTCTGATTTTTCCTGATTCAATATTGGGAGATTGTATTTTTCTAGGAATTTGTCCATTTCATCCACATTGTCTAGCTTGTTGGCATATAGTTGTTCATATGTATTTTCTTACAATCCTTTGTCTGTGGTGTCAGTGGTTATTTCTCTGCTTTCGTTTCTGATTTTATTTATTTGGGTCCTCTCTCCTTATTTCTTGATGAGTCTGGCTAATGGTTCATCTTTCTTGTTTATCCTTTCAAAGAACCAGCTCTTGGTTTCATTGATTTTTTTGTATTTTTTTTAGTCTCTATGTCATTTATTTCTGCTCTAAATTTTATTATTTCCTTCCTTCTACTTACTCTGGGCTTTTCTTGTTGTTCTCTTTCTATTTAAGTTGTAAGGTTAAATATTTTATTGTTAATTTTTCTTGTCTTTTGAGGTAGGCTTATAATGCTGTGACCTTCCTTCTCAGGACTGCTTTTGCTGTGTCCCCAAAATGTGGGGTTGTTGTGTGTTCATTTTCATTCCTTTCCAGTAAGTTTTTTTTTTTATTTCTTTTTTGATCTCGTTGGTAACCCATTCATTGTTTAGTAACATGCTCATTAACCTTCATGTTTTTTAATGTTTTGGGGTGTTTTTACATTAGTTGATTTCTAATTTCATTCCACTGTGATCTGAGAAGATCCTTGATATGATTTCAGTCCTCTTGAATTTGTAAAGACTTGTTCTGTGTCCTAACATGTGGTCTATCTTTGTAAATGATCCATGTGCACTTAAGAAGAATGTATATTCTGCAGCTTTGGAGTGAAATATGCTATAAATGGATCAATTAAATCCATCTGATCTAGTGTGTTTTTTGGAGTCACTATTTCCTTGTTAAGTTTTGTCTGGAATATCTATCCAAAGTCAGTGGGGTGTGGAAGTCCCCTACTATGACTGTATTGTTGTCGATCTCTTTCTTAAAGTCCTATAGAAGTTTGGTGTTTTATTTTTTAATATACTTAGGTGCTCCTATATTGGTTGCATATATGTTTAGCAGGGTTATATCCTCTTGTTGGGTCAATCCCTTTAGTATTATGAAGTGGCCTTCCTTGTCTCTTGTTATTGCTTTCACTTTGAGGTCTATTTTGTCAGATATAAATATTGCTACCCCAGCTTTTTGTTTTTTCATTTCCATTTGCCTAATAAATATTTTTCCATCCCTTCACTTTCATTCTGTGTGAGTCTCTAGTTCTGAGGTGGGTCTCTCATAGACAGCATACATACAGGTCATCTTTTCTTATCCATTCAACCACTTGATATCTTTTGATTGGAGCATTTAGGCTATTGACGTTTAAAGTTATTATTGCTAGGTACTTGTTTGTAGCCATTTTTATTTTTGGTGCCTGTGTTTCTTCTTCCCTTTCTATTTCTTCTTTTACAATTGTCCCTTTAGCATTTCTTGCATTGCTGGCTTGGTGGTGATAAATTCCCTTAGCTTTTTTTTTTTTTTTACAGTGTTCCCCCTTCTGAAATCCTCTCCCCTGTCCTTAACTATAACTATATTAAGATTTATTTCCAGCCACTGGATGTGCAGGAAGCCCAGCAAGGTAAAGCCATGCTTTTCCACTATCATACACTGTGGGCAAAGTCATGTCCACATGACATGCTATTCTGTATTTTCTAATTTATTTGTAATTGTTTCTGTTTTCACCTCAGGCATCATTCTGTCTCTCCTCAGGTAAATTATTAGTACCTAAAAAGCAGGATTAATGTAGTCCACTTATTTAACAATTCACTGTTCATTTAACAACCTAATAGTATATCTTCCATATTGCTTGGTCTAGATTCATGCACACTATATTTCCTTAAGATGCTTGTCAGAATTACTTGCCTGACCATTGAAATATCTCTGGTAAATGCAAAAAGCATTCAGTGAACCACAAGATGCACAAGCAGTCAAATAACTGAATGCTTGTTAACACTTACCTGCTCCATTTTGATCAGGAAATAATCAATAAAGTCCCGAGGATTGTGAATGTCCAGGGATGCTTGATGTTCCTTTGTTTTCTCTGTAACATAACTTCTTATAAAAGCAATATTTTTAAATACTTTGTTCTGACTCCCTGGGAAATAGTCCAGGAGAGTAGGGCAATTGTTGTAGATCTAGAAGAGAAAAGGATAGTTTATCTGATTAAAAAAACACTTAATGAAGACATATACCATATACTGAGCCCTAGTCAGAAACTGTACTGTAAATATTAATGAAATATGGTCTTTGTTTTGAGGGGATTTCTATTTTACAAATATGTAACTTTCTACACTGATAGGTGTATTTGAGGGTGAAAGTTCTGACCAGAGGAGCAAAGATGGTAATCACTTCTATACACATTCATCATGCTTATAGTATAAAAACAGGTGCATATCAGTTCTCTCATTTTTTACATCAATTTTTCCCTGAAATCTTGAAATATGGGATTTCATGAAATACTATGATTCACATTTTGTAGATGACAACAGAGGGGGAGGGAGTTTAGGCAATCTGATACAGCGCACAAAACGTAACCTTGCTATTTCTAGTTCTGTCTAGTAGCCTCAGTTGAATCAGTATCTTAGAACTGGGAGGGTCCTGGTGGTAACCATGAAACACAACTCAACATTTTATATATGAAGTAACTGTGCACAGGGCAGTTAAGTGACTTCTTTAAGACCACATCACTATCTTTTAGGCTGAGTATAGAACAGGTCAACTCGCACAGGGTAAACTTGTGATGTTTGTATATGGTTCATACACCATGTACCCAATCATTTTGTCATCCCCCAAACAATTACCTTGTCAGTTAGGATGCTAACTAAAACATCAAATACTCTTACCCCAGTTAGTGTTCCCTAGCAGCATCTGTGGACCCAAATATTCTCCCTTCTTGTAGGAGATATTCTCTTCCTCCCTAAATGCATATATTTCTGTCAGCTAATGTACTGAAGAAGTCACCAAGTGTTGACTAATGACAAGACCTGTGGGTAATGGAATCCTTTCAAGAGGAACCCAGAAGTCCATTTAGTACTATAGGCATATTTCTGGAAGTTATCAAAGTACTTTATGGGAAATTGGGCTTTGGAATTTAGCAGAATATCCTGGACAGGGTCAATGGGGTTGAATTCCAGATGTATATTCTGGGCATTTCTTTTCTGGTCTGTCATTAAAGGGGTCGGCCCAATTTCCCAGATGAGCACTTCATGATGCTAAGCTCTGGGAAGGACTATGGCATTCACCCATTTACTTCACGGCTTGGTACACACACAGATGTGGACTTCTTGGAGAAAAGAGCATAAAGGATTCCATAAAGATGTGAAGAAACAATCTTGGCCTCACCTGAATCCATGGAGAGCTCAGAATCTTGACATTTTCATTAAACCTTCCCATTATGTCCAGAAAAACTTTATCTTTATAATCAAAACGCTTCTGGAAGATAATGGAGCAGATCACATTGCAGGGAGCACAGCCCAGGATAAAAGTGGGATCACAGGGTGATGCTAAAGAATCAGAAACAATTTTAAAACACCATTAGAATATACATATGAAACACTTCGATTATGAAATAACAGGTAAAGGTAATTTTAGAAACTTTAAAGCAAGCTCTTGCTGAGACCGGTTTGGCTCAGTGGATAGAGCGTCGGCCTGCGGACTGGAGGGTCCCGGGGTCAGGTCCGGTCAGGGGCGTGGAC